CCATAGGGCCAGAATCCCAGCCCCTGCACCCCCTGCTGTGCACCAAGACTCTCTGGTCCTTCTGGACTCTGGATGTTGCCAACCAGAGTTCCAGTTTATAAAGGTACAACCTGTATTAAGTACTAAAAAGAACACAAACATCCATGCTCAGTCTCCCTCCATAATAATCTCATTTTAACTGAATATTGGTAACTTTTAGGTCTCAAATGTCTGTGGAAACATTTGACCTTTACCATGTTAGGCATCAGCCATGCCTACTCTACTTCATCATGACATAACAGGTAAAATGCATGCTAGTACATCACTAATTTTTAATAAGACACTATAGCACGACACAGAAGATAGTGCTAGCGTTCATTATCATGTGAGTTTACAGTAGATATTAACTATGGGTTCCTAGGAAGAGAGGTAGTTTCATATTTGAAAATGCAAAGTTCACACCAAAAAGCCCATTTCTGCTTTTTTTTAAAAAAATATTCAAGTTAACACAAACAATTTCAGCCATGAATTGGCATAACCTGAGACAAGTGGCCTAGAAAATGTGTTAGATCAAAGACCTGAGGCTCCATAAACTGGTTTTAGACATATTACATCATCTGTTAAATAGTATAATGGCATTTCAAGACTCATCCCTGAACAAGTCAAAGCCCTTAAACTGAGATTTGTCACTTTCATTTAAATGTATGGAATATTTCATCACCCTGGTCCAAAACATATGTAATAACTAAGTGTAAAAAATTGGAGGGTATTATACCAGAACACCAATTTCACCAGTTTTCAATGCAGAAGGTGAACATTTTGTTAGGATTCCCTTATTGTCTGAAATACACCATGTACTTTTGCTCAAGTGACAGATGGCCTTTCCCTGTTCTACATGATCATCTGATCTGACTGAATGAAAGTACTTAACAGCAGAAAATGTCTTTCAAAAGGATACTATTTGGCAATATCAAGAAGTGGTCCTTGCCCAGACACTAGAACACATTTGTCATGGTAACGTTTGAACATCCGTAAAGGACTATGAGACATCACTACTTGGTCTTGTGAAATCTGTTTGGAATAAAATAGAAAATTGGTATTATTTCAACTCACCTTTGTCTTTGCTAGATTTAATCAATAATGTTACAAATTATATTTCAGTTTAACCAAAAGTCATTATAGAAAATACAGCCCTCCCCACCATAATTCAATTTCCCCAAAATTTCCTATATACATGATACATAGTGAAAAAAGCATTCTGAGTCTTAGCTTACAAAAGCACACCCCAAGCCTCCATTTTTGCTTCCAGAATTCCTGTATTCTGCATGGGCACAAAGCATATACCACGGCCTCCCCAATCATCAGATTGAAGCAGCATTAATAGTCTGAACATGGGATCCAAACTAATACCTTGGTTCCAATCCTGGATCTGTCCTCAGATTGCTGTGTGGGCCATATACTCCTCTCTGTATTAGGGTTTGTTTCCACTACACAGGGGATCAACACAATAAATCAACCACTGAGCACACACTGATCGACTCCAGTACTCCCCCCAAGAGGAGAAGAGTAGGCGGAGTTGATGGAAGAGCATCAGCTACCCACCTTACTGGATGGAAGACACCACAGTAAGTAGGTCTAAGTATGTCAACTTTAGCTACCCTATTTGCGTAGCTGAAGTTGTGTGTCTTAGATCGATCGGAAGGGGGAGGCATAATACAGAATAGGTCTGAGTTTCAATATCCGGTTCCTAAGAGATTTTTTTCTCCAACAACTGTGTTAACGGTAAAATTGGAATAATTTATTATTCCACAGAAGGGTATGACAATAAAGAAGTGTTTGTAACAGGGCTTTGAAGATTGTGAAGTCTAAGGATTATTATGATACTTCAAGTCATTTAATATTAACACCTTCATATTTTAGGCTTTTATTTTATACGTAAATATATATTATATATATTTCCTATGACACCTATTGAAATAAGGATCACTACTGAGTGAACAAAACTCTTGTTCTAAAATTTAAATATTTATCTTTGCAGGATCAAACATCCAATCCTCAACTCACAAGCAGCAGTTTAATGCCATGGCCGGCAGTGCCCAGTGGCCCAGCCTTCTTGTGCCATATATACCAGGACAAGTGTCTCTCTGGTATGTGAGGCAGGAGCTAGAAGGAAGCTACCATCTTGGATGCAGATGTTACTTCAGGAGACCAATTTGCATGAACAGAATTTCATGCCACTAAGTGAATTACTAGTGTAGGACTCTTAAGCAGATAATTACCAAAATAGTAACATACCCTTTGATATTAAGGCCATTACTTGTAGTTCGTATTACTCACCGACACTCCCAAAATATGAGACAACTGATCAGCTTTCTTCTGGCGAAGGCAATTCCCTGCATTGGTGACAAATACTACAGGCACCAAGAATTGTCCCTGAGAACCAACTAACTTTTGAAAGGCTTTTTTTGCACCCCATCAATGTCGAAGAGGAAGCCAAAAGTAGGTATGTTGGGCTGCAAGGAGAAAAAAAATATTTCCATCACTGCACACATTCAATAAAGCGTATAGTATTGACAGCTGTGATCCAAACCAATAAAATCTTTGTGACTACCCTGGACTTCTGGGAACAGATCATCTCACTACATATACCTGGATGCCACACAAATAAAGCTGCACACTGAAACATTTATTATGGTTTAGGAGCCAAATCTAGAGGTGCAAATTTTTCTCTCCATCACAAGCACCTTTTTATTGTCCAAATAATTGTAACCTCCCTAGAGATTGACAAAAAAATAATATGTTTCAAAGTATTTTAGAAATGTGGCCCAAATTCAGCAAAACTGGCACATGGAGATTCCAGAATCTGAAGAAGCGGGCTGTGCCCATGAAAGCTCACGATACCATCTACATGTTTTGTTAATCTTTATGGTGCTACTAGACTATGGGTTGTTTTCTTAAGTGTTTCCTGTTACAGACTAACTCGGTTACCCCTCTGAAGCTTTTTGAGATTCCAGAGTCAGTTAAGATTTTTGTGCCAGAGGGAGATATATTCTCTGTAGAGGGATGTAAGTGGTGGTTTTTTCCTATTCTGAATATGTATCAATATTTTGTATGTGTCCAATGAGAAGATTGGTACCTTCCATTATCAATAAGTTAAACATAATAAAAAAATGTGGTTATCATAGTGGGTGGGCCTGACTGCAAGTACAGCAGCGTTCATTTACACAACACGGATAAGAAGTTTCCCCGTGTGATATTCACATCACCCTGTCCCCAGACACTTTAAGCTTGAAAAGTAGGGCTCCTCCTTGCACCCCACTTCAGCAAGCTCTTGCCTTCAACACAAGAGATTCTGTTTTACAAGGAGGAAGCAGTAGCGTAACAGGTTGAACCTCCTAAATCCAGAACTCACTGGTCCAGCATCATCCATGATCTGGCAGGACCATGGACATTGTTGGACTAGAAATTCCTGGCACCCGGGAATGCAAACCAGCTGGGACACCAACCACTGGGGAACCTCAGCTGGGTGGGGCAGCAGCTGGACCAGTGAGCCCTGTCCCCAGGAAGCCCTGGCCAGGTGTGGCAAAAACGGGACAGCTGGCAAGTCCCATCCACAGGAATCCCCGAAGGAGCAGAACAGAAGCAGGGTAGCCAGCGAGCCCCTGCCAGGAACGGGAAAAGGAGGGCCACGGCAACTGGGAAGCTCCGTCCCAGAGAGTCCCAGCCAGCTGGAGCCCAAAATCAAGTCCTGCAGTAGTAGGGCTGGAGCCCAGTGGCAGGGGGAGCATCCTCAAAGGCCAGTGGCAGGGGACCTCCCCGATCCAGCAAATTTCCTCTTTCGGAATGGGTCAGGGCCCGAGGGTGCCAAACCAGGGAAGTCCACCCTGTAGTAAAGTTGCCCAACACTACCCATTACAAACAGAGGGGGGCATGAGAGGCCACATGCCCCCTAATGCCATGAGAGGGGACTAGCAGGGGCGGGAAGCCTGTCACCTCCAAGTGGGGTCCACTCCCCAACACTCAAAGGCAGCAGAAACAGGCAGTTTCAGAATGTGCCTTTTGCTGTTCCTTTGAAATATGCCCAAATTATAAGCCCCTGAAAAACTCCAGTTCACAAATGCTCAGATTTTAGCAGCTACAATATGAAAAGTGCCCTCCCTGAGCATGCTGCATCCCATCGTAGTCCCTGTGTGTGAGCAGACACCACATCCATCTTCCCCACAGAGTGATGGTGCACACTCCTTCCAGCCAAAGGCTACAGAGGTAAAGCCAGACCTCCCCAGAAACGGGTGGGCACTGAAACTGAGAACAGGCAAACAGTTTCACCCTGTGCTCACTGACACAACTGCCTCCTTGCCACCAGCCAGCAAACACACGATTCAAATGCAAAGGGGGAAAAGCCAGAATAGAGGGGAGGGAAAAGACTCGACTGAGACGGAGACAAATATTCCAGAGTCTAGAGACCTTTGTTGTTAGTAAATCTATGTGAAATCCATGATGATTAAAGGTACATCTAAACTACATGACTTTTTAAATAAAGGGATGTAAATTAGACTTATCAAAATTGTAAACGAAGCCGGGCGCCCGGCTTTTTTTTTTTTTTTTACACCTGCTTCCCAACCCTCCCAACCCCCCCCCCCCCCGATGGGGATCATTCGACAGAAATGCCCCATTTTAAAAGATCCCGTAAACCTCATTTTTTGAAGGAAGAGGTCGAGGTAGGGATCGTTGAATTGAGGAAGTAAATGTGAGGTTGTACAGGTGGTGCCGGGGAGAGAAGGTTTTGGTTTCTTTGACCATGGGACTCTGTTCCGGGAACAAGGATTGTTAGGAAGAGATGGGATCCACCTAACCAAGAAAAGAAAGAGCATCTTCGCAGGCACACTTGCAAACCTACTGAGGAGGGCTTTAAACTAGCTTCGTTGGGGGACGGTGACCAAAGCCCTGAGAAGTGAGGAAGTCAGATACTGGGAAGAAACACAAAGAGGAATGAGCAACAAAGGAGGACCCCTGATTCAGATGCAGAAGGTAGGGTGATCAATTGGTTATCTAAGGTGTTTGTACACAAATGTAAGAAGCCTGGGAAACAAACAGGAAGAATTAGAAGCCCTGGTCCAGTCCAAGAACTAGGATTTGATTGGAGTAATGGAGACTCGGTGGGATGACTCGCATGACTGGAGCACAGTCATGGAAGGATATAAACTGTTCAGAAAGAACAGGCAGGGGAGAAAAGGAGGAGTTGCACTGCATGTAAGAGAACGCTATGATTGCTCGGAGCACCAGTATTTAGAGGAAGAAAAGACTGTTGAGAGTCTATGAGTTAAGTGTTGAAGTGGAAGCAACAGGGGTGATGTTGTGATTGGTGTCTGCTATAGACCACCAGATCAGGTGGATGAGGTAGACAAGGCTTTCTTTGAACAACTGAGAGATGCTTCCAGATCACAGGCCCTGGTTCTCATGGGCAACTTTAATCACTCTGGCCTCTGTTAGGAGACCAATACGGCAGTACACAAACAATCCAGGAAGTTTTTGGAGAATGTTGGAGATAACTTCTTGATACAAGTGCTGAATGATCCGACCAGGGGCCATGCGCAGCTTGATCTTCTGCTCACAAACAGGGAGGAAGGAACTAGTAGGGGAAGTAGAGGTGGGTGATATCCTGGGAAGCAGGGATCATGAGATGGTAGATTTCAGGATCCTGACCAAAGGAAGAAAGGCGAGTAGCAGAATACACACCCTGGACTACAGAAAAGCAGACTTTAACTCCCTCAGGGTATGTCAACACTACCCTCCTAATTCGAAATAGGAGGGTAATGTAGTCATACCGCAATTGCAAATGAAGCCCGGGATTTGAATTTCCCGGGCTTCATTTGCATAAAGCCGGCCGGCGCCATTTTTAAATGCCGGCAGTTCGAACCCCGTGCCGCGCGGCTACACGCGGCACGGAGTAGCTAGTTCAGATTAGACTTCCTCGTGGAGTATAAATCCACAGTACACCCAAATCTTGAATACTGAGTAAGTACCCATGTGGTCACCTCATCTCAAAAAAGATACCTTGGCACTGGAAAAAGTTCAGAGAAGGGCAACAAAAATTATTAGGGGTATGGAATGGCTGCCATATGAGTTGAGATTAATAAGACTGGACTTTTCAGCTTGGAAAAGAGATAACTAAGGGGGAATATGATAGAGGTCTATAAAATCATGACTGGTGTGGAAAAATGAATAAAGAAAAGTTGATTACTCCTTTCCATAACACAACAGCTAGGGAGTCACCAAATGAAATAAATAAGCAGCAGGTTTAAAACAAACAGAAGGAAGCACTTCTTCACACAACGCACAGTCAACCTGTAGAACGGCTTGCTAGAGGATATTGTCACAGACAGGACTATAAGGGTACGTCTAGACTACAGGCTTCTGTCGACAGAAGTTTTGTCGACAGATACTGTCGACAAAACTTCTGTCGACAAAGAGCGTCTAGTCTACATTGAGTTCTGTCGACAAAGCAAGCTGCTTTGTCGACATGGTAGTGTGGATGCAAAGGACAGTTTACATGCAATAACACCTTCTGTCGACAGAAACTCTGTCGACAGAAGACGTTATGCCTCGTAAAATGAGGTTTACCAGCGTCGACAAAACTGCTGAGTTCTGTCGACATTATGTCGACAGAACTCAGCGGTAGTGTGGACGCAGGTATAGTTTTGTCGACAAAAGTCCACTTTTGTCGACAAAACCCTGTAGTCTAGACACACCCTAACAGGGTTCAAAAAAGAGCTCGATAAATTCATGAAGGATAAGTCTGTCAATCACTATTAATTACCCAAGACGGGCACGAACAATGTCTCTACCCTCTGTTTGTCAGAGGCTGGGAATGGGCGCTAGGAATGGATTACTTGATGATTACTTGTTCTGTTCATTCCCTCCGGGGCACCTAGCATTAACCAATGTCGGACTATACTAGAAGGACATTTGGCTGCTCTTAGCACATATGCAGACTTCCTCAATTTGCTTTAACTTGCAATGGTGTTTTTGCCAATCAATCACCACATAAATGTTAGTGAGAGATAAAGATGGTAACACTGAAAACTTAAATACATCAACATCTCAAACATTTCCTAAGTGAAATCATTGATTACTGTGTTTGCACAACAAGATTAAAAAGGGAAAGGGAAAAGGAAGAATGAGGAAGGTCAGTTTTAAAGCAAAGAATTTTGATGTATTCAAAGTTAGATTTTGCTGTATTAGCTGTTGTTAAATACATAGTCTGAACACAACTATGAATAACCAAGACTGTAAAACTATAAAATGTAGGAGTTTAATTTTTCATTACAAAACACAGGAACTGAACTCTCTCCTGACAACGATCATACTCATGGAAATGGAGCAACGTCCACTTCATCAAGCAGTGCTATGAGAACAAGGAAGGGGATTACAGACTGTGATATTCAAAAAGCACAGGAGAAAATGTA